ATGATTGATTTGGNTTGGTCGGCCACTGTGAGGATGGTATTCAGTCTTGATATCATCAATTTCATAGCTAGGCTCATCATCCTGGTCTTTTGAAAATGAACTACATTAGTGATACCAAGATATAATAGAGTATGACATACAAGGCTCTGGGTTGCCAACTGTGCTAAATAAAGGAGGACTATCTTCAATTTCTATAGGAGCAGGTTCACTGTCAATGCCTGTGACCATGACTGATCTAGATCCTGAGCTTTCGTCTGGCTGATTCAGAGCTTCAATATCTGAAGGAAATTATAAATCAATAAAATGATGAGGATCAGAGAAATAACATTCGGTACCCAATAGTTGATGACTTGTTTGCATGATTGTCTCTCTCCCACGCAAAATAAGCCCATCTAGCAAGAAATACCTTCATAATGATATTTTTTGTGATAGGATTATCTACTCACCCCGTTCACTCCTCTTCTCTTGCTTTCTCAACTTCTTTTCATAAGCCTTGTCACTCAAGTCATTCTCATGCTTTCGTCGGCAAGAAGTTTGGTGTGCTCCGATACTGCGTGTGTTAAAGGGCAAGTTACAATACTGGCAATTAACCTTTTCTTTTGGCTTCTGACACATCGATTTATGAGCCCTGAGGGCACGCTGGGAATTGAATGTAGACCTGCAAGTTGCACACTCGAGCATCTGAACAAGATGGTGGTGGTTCAGAACCAACAGTTTGTTATCTATTATTGCAATATCTGATGCAGTTGCAATCTGCATTGAAATTGGTAGCAATAACTACGGACCGATCTCAACCGGCTTGGCAGGAGTCAACACCATTGCAATGATCGTTTTGGGTTGAAACCCAGAAGAAACCGGCGTTCTGACATGATTGCAACGCCGGCCAGTTGTAACCGAGAAAAAAAAAGTCCAACATTAATGATACACTACCCCCATTTGATACACTTTTGACTGGCAAATATCTCGCTCAATACTAGGCCGATTTTTACAAAATAAGTTGTAACAAGTAGTACAAACTCATATCTACCACTGTATATAATTTGGATGCATTTGAGGCAGAATTGGCAAAGCTGTGGAGCATACAAAATGGACTGTTTTTCAGAAATAGCCAAATACAGTCAAACCCCTCAATGATACACCCATAATCTTAGTTTTTCTCTGTGAAGTGTGGGTCAAATATTCTGAAATTTGGTATGGTCATAGAAGGGCATTTATCTGACATTTTCATGTAGTTTTTGTAGAGAAATGTTGTGCTCAAATTTGTTGAAGTTAATTTCTCATTTTGGGTGTATCATTAGCAGGTGGATGACTGTACTTATCTTTATTGTTGGCCAGGCTAACGCTATTTTGATATAATTTATTATATTATTAAAATTTGATAAGAGGATTTGTGACAGCGATCTGATTGTTCGCTGCAATCCACTGTCAGCACCAAGTCAGCACAGCAATCAGCTGGTTTTTTGAATGAGCTCAGATGGTAGGGAAATTACCAGATTGTCATACAAAATTATCATGTAAATAAAAAATGTCAGTTTTGAGCAGGATGCCCGCAGTGAACGAAGGGGCGGGGCAGACGCGACGCGACGCATTGGGTCACGTGATTACATAAACAGTGCGCATGTCTATCTGTGACGGTAATGGGGACCCCATCAAACGAGAAAGGGAAGGAAGTCGAAGGTCCGAAGCAAAGGCAGACCATGTCCTTGTCGGCAACGGTACTAGTCATCACTGTCATTGTGAATCGATTCTAGAAGTTTTTCTTCACGTCAAAGTTATAAATGATCTCATTTGCTACCACTGTCGAAAAAAAAAACTACTTCCAAATATGTCGCGGATGCCAAATGCCATTAATCAGGATATATCTTGCGAAACAACTCTGACAGGGATTGGACAGGGATCAGACAGGGATTGCACTCGTCTTCAATGCATCACATTAGACTGGTGACCCGAACCCTCGATCACGTGCCTTGCATCCCAGCGGCTGCTTGGCGGCCCGGCGCTTTGGGACTGATCAACACGCTGGAAATCAGCTCTACCTCTCTTCGTGGCGATGTTCAAGGGACCTGCCCCCGATCTTCAAAGATCACATACCGCGTCCAGATATGCACACCCCTCTCTTTCCACTCTTCCCCCTGACGTCTTGATTCAAATCCAAACTTTTCTGGAAACAGACGACATCATCTCTCTTCGCAAGGTATCGATCATCCTATTTCCAGAATGTTTAACATTAACGGTTTCCTTATCATTTCTCTTTGAGACCTCTCAAGTCTTGTGCACCGTCACAAAATTGCGAATTGTGTGGATCAACGCCTTGCGCCAAGTGTGTTTGATGCACGGCATAAATCTGTCCACGTTCTACCCACTTGAAAATATTTCGCAAATCGAACTTGAACATGCCGCCTTCTCACCTTTTAGATTTATAAAGTACGCAACGGATAACATCCCCTCTGAAGGAGTAAAATACGCAACGGATAATATCCCCTTTGAAGGAGATATTAAATCCGTTGTGACTCGCATCCTTGAGCCTCGATTACCGCCCGTCATTCCGACGGATGAGGACGTACCCTTTGATTGTCACACTCTTTTGCTTATTCCGGGCGGTCGGTTCTTGTTTACCGATACGATTCAACACGGCGTCGCCCTTTGGGACCTCGGAATTCATGCAGCAATCCCAATGAAACTGTCCCCTCTAGCTGTGCTTCCGACAACAGAGGAATCTTTTGTCAGATTCACCAGCCCAACTCCGGACGGTCACGGCGTTTACGTTTGTGTTGAAGAACAGGTGTAAGCATCTCAGCAATTTTTATTTCTCTATGCTGCACATCCCACACACATCATAGGAACTTGTACACAGACACCCGCGTGTCAATCTACGAAATATACCCATCCTCTGCGGACGTGGCTTTCCGTCTTACCCATTCCTTGAAGGTCAAAGGAGCATTTGATAACGCATACATCTATAGAAACACACTGGCCTGCAGTCATGATAACCATCTCATCACGGTCTGGGATTTTATTCAAAACAAAGCAATCAGTTGGGAGTACAATGCAGTACTTCGACCGAATGGCGTCAGTGACTTTCCAGAAAACAATCACCCCATGTACTGACTATCTATGTTCTACAAGGTTATACTTTATACCGACACCCTCCTTCTCGTTGAATTCGGGAAATTGACTGTCTGGGACGTGCCTGGCTCACTGTATCTGCCGGTTTCGGACGACATGGGGCCTGCGTTTATCCGGCTCCTTCCTAGATCGGAAATTAATACTCCATTGCCAGCTGAATCCTTTCGCGTTTCTCCCCCTAGTCAGTGGCTTTCTGCAGGACAGTCGAGACTCCCTTTCTTTGGATTGTGCAGCCCGACGCCCGACATAGAAGGGGAGGAACTTGATGATGCAAGTGCTTCTATGCGATGCTACACGTTCAAACCTGTTTCAAGCCTTTCCGATAACCCAGAATTGCAGGCGTTTGATCCACAACCAGTGGGCGTCGTGAACTCTTTTCCCATATCGACGATGTCCGAGAACTTTCTACGACATATACGGTTTTGTGGCAAGTCGCTTACCGTAG